CAGGCAGCCATCGCCATGGTAACGCTGCGAATGGAGCCGGCTCGGCCCCCTGACCACCCAGCAAATGGCATTTCTCAGCCAGGAGCTGCCTTTGCCCTCAGGGCCTCCGGGCTTCCATGGGTGTGGCTGCCTGGAGAAGGTCCTGGGCAGGACCTGGTGCCTCCAGGGATGTGCGTCCTGAGATGGAATGAAAGGTGGTGGAGGGAGCGTGGGGGATGAGAGATGTGGGGAGAAGTGGAACAGCCACAAATTTGGCTTCTCCAGCAGCACTCTGGGGCCGGGCGGGGCTGCGACCCACAGAACTTGTCGCTGGGGTGACCTCAGGGTCTGAAGCAGCCCAGGGGTGGGACGAGGGATGGGGCAGGCATCTCCTGGAGCCATCCTGTGCTGTGCCAGTGCTTTGCAGCCTTCACTGGGTTGTTCAGCTCTGCCATGAGTCAGGCAGGAGTGTCCCTGGGTGCCTCAGTAAAGGCTGAGCTCTACCTGCTGTTTAATCCTCCAGGCAGTCCTGCAAGATGTCTTTGCAGCTCCTTCTAGCCAGCATTGATCACCTTGCCCTGATCAGCCAGGCTTCAAACCCAGTCACTTGCCTTTCCTGGGTGCTGGAGGAGCTCCGGGCTGTGCCAAGAGCCCTTGGGGGCTGCCCTGCCCTCCACACCACTGCAGAACACCCACTTTGTGCTTTACCCAGGCATTCAGCCACGTGGAGACCTCCCCACTTGTTTCAAGGCATCGTAAGTGCCTTGAGAGCCCTGGATAGACACCCCTCATGAATGTGTCTTGAGATCTGGGTGGACCTTCCCAGCTGAGTCTCACCTGCCCAGCAGGATGTGGGGTGACCCTGCCCATCGCTGTGTGTCCACTCCTTTTATTCCTTAGGATGTTGTCCATCAACTTCTGAGGCTGGTTGAGGACCTGAGCTTGGATAAATCCTTCCTTCTGAAAGCTACACATGAATTTGGGTTTCCTAACTTTAAGCTGCCTTGCTCCAGCTCGGAGAACTGAGCCCCACCATGTTCTGAACATGAGCCCAAACATGGCTCCCAGACCAGGG